GTCTGCAGCATTTCTTTCTGCTGCTGCAGCGCCAGTTCCTGCTGCTGCTGCTGGTGCTGCTGCTGCTGCTGCTGCTGCTGCTGGTGCTGCTGCTGCTGCTGCTGCTGCTCTCCCCTCAGACTTGTTTATAAAGTGAGAAAGCCTAGCAGCAAATACTTCAAGCGGCAGCCCCAGAGAAGCAGCAATATCAGCAGCAAGCTCTTCGCAGCTCCACTCAGCAGCAGCAGCAGCAGCAGGAGCAGCAGCAGCAGCAGGTGCAGCAGCAGCAGGTGCAGCAGCAGCAGGTGCAGCAGCAGACAACGCGCTGCTGCCGTCATGGGCCTTGTTAAACATTCCACCTTCAATCTGCTTCTGCAATCGTTGCTGCTGCTGCTGCAGCTGCTGCTGCTGCAGCTGTTGATGCAAGTGCTGCTGCAGCTGCTGCTGCAGTTGCTGCTGCAGCTGAGCAGCAGCAGAAGCACCCCCCCCGTAGCTGCTTTCTTTGTGGGGGCCACGAAGAGGAGAAGCAGCAGCAGCAGCAGCACGTCCCGCAACAGCATCGAGTAAGTTGCTGCTGCTGCTGTTGTTGCCAGCTGCAGCAGCAGCAGCAGCAGCTGCTGCTGCTGCTGCTGCTGCTGGGAAGTTCAAGAGTGCTTCACTCACGCCATCAGCAAGAGTGCTGCTGTTTTTGCTGCTGCTGCTGCTGCTGCTTTTGCTGCTGCTGCTTCTGTTGCTGCTGCTGCCTGCACGCAGCGGGATCTCCTCTTCTGCTGCTGCTAGAGCTTTATGCTGATGATGGTGAGGAGTTTGTGCTGCTGCTGCTGCTGCAGCAGCAGCAGCAGCTGCTGCTGCTGCTGCTGCTGCTGCTCTGGGTGTGTGTTGCCTCTCTGGCTTGCGTGCCTTCGAGCCTCCTCTTTCACTTGTTGCTGCTGCTGCTGTTGTTGCTGCTGCTGCTGCTTCTGCTGCATTTGCTGCTGCTGCTGCAGCAAGAAGCTCCCGCTGACGCTTTCTGCTGCCGCGTCCTGTTTGTTGCTGCTGCTGCTGCTGCTGCTGCTGCGGTGCAGCAGGAACAGCAGCAACAGGAGCCCCCTGTGCTGCAGTTCCTCCCACACCACCAGCAGCACCACCACCAGCAGCAGCAGCAGCAGCAGCAGCAGCAGATGAAACAGCAGCAATATTTCTCATACCAGCAGCAGCAGCATCTGTATTATGTTGAAACACCTCAACTTTAACCTGCTGCTGCTGTTGCTGCTGCTGCTGCTGCTGCTGCTGCTGTTGCTGCTGCATC